AAAATAAAGATATTAAATATATTAAAGAAATATGTGAAATTAGAGAAATTGGAGATTGCTAAGAAATTAGTGAAATCCGAGAAATCAGAGAAACAGTAGAAAGTTGAGATTCGTGATCGACATGATTACCATTCGTCAATTAGGTTAGGCGCAGTATCGTGCGTCATAACAAGACTATCACAAACAACGCTAAAAACAAAGTAAAAAAAAGTAAAATTTATCATTGGGTCAATAAACTTTTATAACTAGAGGATATTTTATAATACAGTAAATCAATAAATCAGTGAAAACTAAAATCTAAAATGACATTATTATTGCACTTAAATTCCATATTTACATACATATATCCTAAGAATTGAAATATTTGATTATGATAGAATTAAAGAAATCCAAGATTTAACTACTATTTAACATAAATTTTATATTATGACATATTTTTATGATATTTTTTTATTTTTTTTTCTTTTCGTTAATACCTTTAAAAAATACTGCGAAAAATAGTAAATTTTTTGCCAGCATTTTATAAGCTTTCTATTTCAATTTTATTTTATGTGATGAAAAACCTACTGAAGAGGATCTTAAGAAACTTATTAATATTAGTCGTAAAAAACACATAGAACCGGCTTATCTTGTTAATCGTTGGCGCAACAACTGCGGTGAATATCAAAAATATCAAATTTCAAACATATCAAATACTGTATGTTTTACATATGTAATTTATTATATTTATCTGTTTTATTTATTATATATGTTATATTTTTTATTTATTAAATTTATTATACATGTTAGTAAATTGAAACAACGATTTATATAAATAGTTTGGGAATTCGATCTAGTGAATAATAGAGAAAAATAGATAGAATAGCAAGTTCTTATGAGTTTCTCTCAAAGATTTAATTAGAATATTCTAGCTTGTGATGACAAGTTTTAAGAAAGGCTCGTAGAAATCTTAATATAATAAAGTTGTTATTTTACTATTTATATCTGATGCGATAACTTTCTACACTAGTAAATCTTAATTAATTAATTACTACATAGATTTATACATCGGACGAACTAAATAAATTGTAAATTAGTGTTTTCTGACTTGAGAAAGCAAGGAAATCCAATCCAGGTCAACACCGGGTAAAAATTTATTTAACAGATAATTTTCGGGCAGAATTAAAATTTTTTCTGATTACAAAATTTCACTAGTTTTGCCCAAATTTATAGTGCCGGCCTGATTGATTTGTTAAATTTGAATATCATTTAATTCCTGAAGTGATTGCCAAAAAGGATCTAAAAATACTTAATCGGTTAATAACCGGTTAAAAAATTCTTTATACAGTTAATTAACCGGTTAAATTTAACGCACAATAATTATATCGTAAAATAATCGGTCAATAATTATATCTTAGATTATGTAATTTAATAGTTTATTGTTCAATAAATTATTGCACAAAATTTGATACGTTGTAATCTTTCGAATGAAAACGGTTAAAAAGAATTTTATTAAAAGTTGTAATAAAAATTTGAAACATGTGCTCATAATAGTGCAGATACATATAAGCAACATAAGCAACGCAACATCCAGCTAATTTTATTGCAGACAATAATTTTACAATGTTATATTCAAAAATTCAATTTACCTGGATAATAATTTTAAGCTAACAAAAAAATTATTTAAAATACATACTATAAAATATTATATATATAATATTTATTTTTTGAGTCAATAAATCTAGACAATATTTCTTTTATTTAAAAATATATAATTATTATTTTTATAAAGTCAAGTATAAATAATGACATTATTTATACACAATGGATATGAAAAAATTAAAAATTACCTACAACATTTTTGATGAAGGCAACTTTTCAACCGGCTGATCTACGTAATATTTTTAGTAATCAATCGATTTTTCTATAAAATATTTTTCTAATGTAATAATTTTTTTTTATTCTTACTAAACTTATATACCACATTCTGTTAACATATATTCGAAATTATCACGTCATATGAAATATTGCTAATTTTATTTTTTATTTATAAAAACTATGATATACAGTATAGTTAAACGTGCTAAAAAAAATAATGTAACGTATAACATTTTTATAATCCTTCTAATCTGCTAAATCAAAGAATATATTTGATTATCTTGGTTCGGATTATTTTTCTAAGACATTATTAAGAGAAAACAAGATTTTTCTTCCAAATTTAATCATCAACAATAGGTTTATTTAATTTACAGAATAATTTTGAAAACGCCACGCCACCCATAGCCAGCATTATAAATTGCTGCTGTTTTAGTTTAGTTTAAAAATTAAAACTATCTACGTATATATGTTATTCGCATATTTTATTGAGCCGCAGAAACTATCAAAACGTCAGTTTTGCAGATCGGCAGATCGATCGATTTTTATATTTATACGACAATAGCCATGATTGGTTACATTTTATTTGGTCGATCACATGTGGTAAATTGACAAAAATGGTAAACACGATTGTTGGTTATAGTCGCAAAAAGTATTGTGACACGATTACCATAACGTAATAATGAATATATTCTTATCATTAGAAAACTAAAGGGAAAATCTATAATTCAATTCAATACAACAATTATTTTATCAAATTTTCGTTATAAATTTTGTTAGAAAATTAAAGGGAAATCTAATTTCTATACAACTTTACAAAATTTAAAATTTGTTAAAATCTTTTTCAAAATGACTTCTTCAGAGGTTGCTAAAGGAAGAACCCTCCTCGTCGAAGAATTGATAAATGAAGATTATAAACCAGAGTGGACAGGGTAAGTACCCCTCGCTAAGTTATTTTGAGTCGTGAAGTACGCTGCCACTTGGTGTAAAATGGAATGGTCACAGTTTCGGCTGATATCCCTGTACTGCCTGAGGGATTCATCGTGAGTAGGAAACACGAAACACGAATCACGAATCGAAAGTACAAACATACGCGACTGTGAACGCGCCACTTGATTTTTGATTATATGACACATATCCTTAATATATTTTTTATTTTTATTCTTTATTTTTAATACAGAGGTCCCAACGACAGGGGAATAGATATAAAGGTAGAAGTAGACGGAACCAATTTTGTTATACATAGCAAACATTGGAGAAATATGATATGTATGTATTAATCGACTATGTTTATTTAGTTTGAGTATGGATTAATCAATGTTGTATGATTATAGATCCAGCGATTGTACGTGAAATGGATGGGGTGCTCGTCCGACAACCGCCAGGCACGGTCGGTGTGATAGTGGCCCCTGACATGAATCGATACTCATCCGGTACTAAGAAGACGGCAAGAACGTCACCTTTTCAAATAATATTAACCACCCGTACGAATTTAATTCGTGATTTGAGAGTAGCTGCCGCTTGTCGGTGGCGAAAATCGCTTATTATAAAGATCCAAACAATTTTATTATTTTTTTTATTTTTAATAGGTATTTCTATGATGTGCATTTGTGCATTATTATTAGTATTAAAATTAATTTTTAATAAAATTGATATTGTTAATTAATTAACACTTAATACGATACTCGATTCAAAATTGCGAACAAAATTACTTCAATTCGATCGCTAAAAATGAATGACCTTTTTCACGGTTTAAACTTTATAAAAAAAAATTGTAAAGTGCATATTTTAGGTTCTATTTCAAGTATAACAGGATATCTAATTCTATGTTCTATAATTTCTTATATTATTGAACAAATTTATTCATTTCAACATTCATCCCTTGGATGGATATACGATCATAATAAATCATTAACTACCAGAATAATAAAAAAAATAATCAATAAGGTAAGTTTTGATTTTTAACGCTCTATTTACCCTTATTAGAATTTAATTTTTGAAATTTTTAATTTAAAACTTTATTAGGATTACAAGTCAATTATTTAAAGAGTCTGACAAATATGTATAAAATATAAAAAATAATAATTGTGTTTCGAGTATTTATATGAACTTTTCAAGTGTAGGATGCAAGATATATTAAAGCCAACCGATTTCTAGTAATAATATATGAAAGACATATAACTTTTATTAACTGAGGAAATTGACAAGTTTGAATTTGTAGATGACATCAAAAATTCAATTGTGTTTTTCATATTACGGATATACCTAGTGCACAATGATTTTTTTAGCTCAAAGATCTTCTAATGAAATTTAATTTTTATTTTTATTGAAATGAATCATAAATTTTAGATCACATTGATTCTATTTAAATGGCACAGTTAATTTTTCCACCTTCAAGAGAATTGGAATTTGATATTCTTAATTCTTCTAAAAATATTCAATAAAAAATATACGCTATAAAATCAATAATGAATTTTTAAAAAGGTCGATATTTTAATCTTCTTTATTTTTCAACAAATGGGATACATCACAAAGAATTTACGTTTACGATATGATGCACGATTTTGGAATCTAATTATATAACTTAATATTAATATAAATAACAAAAGATGCTTATTAATCATAACTATTCAATAATATTGTTTATAGGTATTTTCAATAAAAAAATTCATTTTTAATTCTGATCCTGATAAATTTCATTGAAACATATTCTGAAGTAACTTATGTCAGTATAACTTGATAAATCAACTTTTATTGTAACTTTTTAATAAAAAAATACAAAGGTTTACAACTATTGTTAATAAATTCAACTACATTGTTTCTTATTCATAAACGAAAACTATTATTTGATAACTAATCAGTTTCTGTTTTGATAACTTAATATATATAATTTAATTAGTCAATGGTTTCAATTTTTAAAGATTTAAAGAAAATACTTTAAATCCCATTTTCTCTTTAATCTGAATACCGCTCAACTTACACTGGACCAAAACTGGCACTTGTGCCGCCAAGTTTCATAATTATTGGTTCAGCTATCTTTTCGAGTGACTTTTGTTTATAATCATATTCGTTCCTCATAGCATCTTGGTTATTTTCAAGCCATGTAATCGACTTTTGAATTGCATCTTCAAGTTTTATCTTGCTTGCTAGGTCAAGATTACCAGCAACCTTTTCATTCTATTGATAAGGGAAGATATTAATTCGGAATGTCAAAAGTATAATGAATATTTAACAAAGCTTACGTGAAGTGTGTTACGTAAGTTATATGTATAACTTTCCAAATGATTTAGTGCCTGTATTTTTTGTGCAATTTTCTCATCATCTTCACGATATTTCTCGGCTTCGATAACTATTCTTACAAGCAGACTTGATTAAAAAAACATTCTAACATAAAATCATCGTTATAAAATTTCGTGAATTGATTACGTGCCCATACGCCTGATTTCTTCCCTTGACAATCGACCTTTGTCATTCGTGATGGTTATCTTACTCGATCGTCCAGTAGTTTTATCAACAGCAGATACCTACAATTAATTCAAATTAATACAAGATTATTTTGCAACAATTATAATGATAGTTGAATATTTAATACTTACGTTTAAGATGCCGTTTGCATCAATAACAAATATGACTTCGATTTGTGGATCACCTTTTGGTGCTGGAAGAATTCCGGTCAATTCGAACTCTCCAAGCAAATTATTATCTTTAGTACGGGCACGTTCACCTTCATAAATTCGAATAAGCATTTCTGATTGATTCTCAAGATCTGTTGAAATGATTTCGGATTTCTTCGTAGGTATTGTAGTATTACGCTTAATAAGCGGTTTCATGACACCACCAGAAGTTTCAATTCCAAGAGATAAAGCAGCAACATTGAGTAAAAGTAAATTTTGAGTTTTTTCAGAAGTGTCACCAGATAAAATAGCAGCTTGAATGGCGGCACCACAAGCCATTGCTTCATCAGGATTAATAGATTTATTTAGTTCTTTACCATTAAAAAACTCAGATACCATCTTTTGAATTTTAGGAATTCGTGTTGAACCACCAACTAAAACGATTTCATGAATTTGACTTTTGTCGATTTTAAAATCTTGAATTACTTTTTCAACAGGTTCCAGTGTAGACTGGAACAAGTCTTGATTCAATTCTTCAAATTTTGCACGTGTTAAGGAGGTATAGAAATCGATATCCTCGAAAAGAGAATCAATTACTATGGAAGCTTTTAATGATGATGAAAGTTCACGTTTTGCGCGTTCACAAGCTGTCCTTAATCTACGGAGAGCACGTGCATTCGTTGCAAGATCCTTCTTATATTTTAGGTTGAATTCTTGTACGAAATGATTCACAAGGCGGTTATCGAAATCTTTACCGCCAAGATGTGTGTTACCTGCAACGGACATTACTTCAAAAATTCCTTGTTCGATACCTAGGAGGGAGACATCAAAAGAACCACCACCTAAATCATAGATCAGAACGTATCGTTCACCACAAAAATTCTCTTTCAAACTATAAGCAATAGCTGCCGCGGTTGCTTCATTAATTATACGAAGTACATTTAAACCGGCGATTAAACCGGCATCTTTTATAGCTTGACGTTGAGAGTCATTAAAGTAAGCTGGTGAAGTAATTACGGCACTAGTAACTTTTGTACCAAGGTAAACTTCTGCAGTCTCCTTCATCTTTACCAAAATCATGGAAGAAATTTCTTCAGGTGTGAAATTTTTCTTCTCGCCTTTGAATCTGACTTGGATATACAGTGGCTCCCAAATGTTATGCATCACCCCAATTGGTAAATTTTAAAATTTAATTACTTTGTATACACGTGA